TTCTGGGAACAGAGTCAGCAAGCCTCCAGAGCTTCCTCCTTGCGATAATCTCGAAGCAGGGTGATTCTAATTCCGGGTTTGAGAGTAGGCAAGAAATCTGAAACAAGAACCTCATGATCCAGTAGCTCAAACCTACCTTGCTGGAGTACCATGCAGAGAAGAAGGATGACTAAGCTCCAGGAAAAAACCTAAACCCTAACCCCCAAACCCTAAACCCCTAAACCCATAAACCCTCAACCCCTAAAAGGAAAAAACACAGTTTCCACCCGAAGCCAGTCGCCCAGCCTCATCTTTTCGCAGAAGCCCGGTGTCCACCATAAAAGGTCGGAAGCGATCTCCAATCCTCGGGTTAGATCGTTGTGTAAGGGTTTAGGGTTTAGGGTTTAGGGTTTCTTTTGACGGGGCCGTGCTCTTGTGTTTGGTGTCTTCCGCTGAAGTTTTTGAAACGAAACAAAGTCGGCGAGGGTCCGGGCTTTCTGTTCTGGCTCGAGTTCGCACTTAAGACCAGAGCCTTGTGGATGCAGCATGCGGGGAGGGTTCAGGGTCTGGGGTCTAGCCTTTTTTCTATTTTTTAGAGGGTCTATAGTCTATAGGCTTTAGTTTGGTTTAATGGGTTTAGAGTTTAGAAGGTTTTAAACCCTAAACCCTAAGCCCTAAACCGTTTAAGGCTTCTGGGAGTTCCGCTTGAAGTCGTCGCCGCAAGCCTTCGATCTCGCGAGCTCTGCCGCACCCTTCCGTTCAAGGCTCCCGGTGACTAGAGGGTTTAGGTTTATAGGTTTAGGGTTTACGCATCTAACCTCTGAGCCCTTGAATTAAACCCATATGCCCTTAATCTCTAAACTGTACATCTCAAAAGATACGACTAAACCCTAAACCTAGACTAAACCATTAAATCCGTAAGCCCTCACAACCCCGAAGCACCAGCTAGTAGAGACCACGAGAGGCAAGGTCGATGAGGCCTCGGAAAGTTTCGGCTTCAGGGCATATGGTATTCGGGTTGAGGGTTTAGGGGTTTAGGGTTTAGGAGTTTAGGGTTTAGGGATAGCCCCACATATACTCGAAACCATCGACCAGCCGCCTGCATACACTCAAACCCTTGCAGTTACAAAACTCCTAGCCCTTAGCCCGATCAGCAAATAATCCGAAACCTCCAACCCTAAACCCTAAACCCCAAAAACTAAACTCTAAACCCGAACCCCCAAAAACGAAACCCTAAATCCTAGGCAAAGTACCCTAAGCTCCCCTACCCGCCGGCAAGCGGCGCTTTGTGGACCAATGCGGCTGCCACACTGGAGTCCACGCCGCCACTGACAGCGCCCACGACATACTTGCCGTCGAGCTTGTTCATAATGATGTCCTGCTATCGAACATTTTACTTACTGCTTTGAACTTTATGCATGTAGCCACAAGCCTAGAATCCAAGCAAGGAAGCTCGTGCCAAAAGTACGGGATTTTGAGCGACGCTACCAAGTCGAGCACGAGACGAACATCCCAACCCCAATCACCTAAAAACTCCAAGCTCCAACTCTCCCCAAGCGTGACCCCTCCAAGTCTGAACCTCAAGCTCTGATATCCCAAAGCCGCCACCCTCCCTGCACCAGCGACTAGAAACCTCCGTCCGAATATAGGTGTATCACGATCCAACTAGCACATCCTTCCTCGAAGCATCAGAGTCTCGCTATCACCCTCTCTTCGAGCCGAACAGGCTTGGCCGGGTTGGGGAAAGTGGGGAAGTTCGGGAAGAGCTTGGGGTTTTGGGCTTGAGGGCTGAAGTGCAGCGATGGATCGATTTGCTTCTGGCAGAAGTCGTGCATGTTCCACTCACCCTTGCCTGGGCGAGGTCAAAGGCTGAGTCTCACAAGTTGCTGCCAAATTCACTACCGCCGCTTCAGAGACGTTAGGCCGCTGGGCGCGCGCTAAGACCGCTGAGACTGAGCCAGGCGTGTCCGAAATTAAAGTGAATGGAAGTGGAGAAAAGGTGGGGGACAATGGCAATAGTATTGCCAGCTAAGTCAACGGACAAAGACTAAAAAACACCAGGACGGCGCTGTAAGGCTTGCGAAGATGTCCGAGACGGAAACAGGATAAACAGCAAATCTGACTATGTACTGTACTTGGACGGGGCGATTCAATGTTTGAGTTGGGGTGTTGCAGGAGACACTGACAAAAATTATACAGGCTTGCATTTGGAGTATCACAGGGGAGCCCAGCTGCAGCCAACCACCTTCAGCACGAAGTTCTTGATCATTGTCGCGCCATTGGGCGTGTGCGTGACCTGTACGCCCACTTCCCAGGCAGCACTGTTGCATTGCTACGTGCATGGCTCACAGTGGCAACTTCTACAGGAATTTGGGGATTGCGCGATAGCTGAATACATCATCTCTCCTACACATCCCCACCTCCACGCCCCACAGACTATCCTGACCCTAAGCCATGAAACTACAGGTCTCACTCCGACTCTTCTCTGCTACTCAGAATTTAGAAAGTCCTAAAACCCCCAAACCCCACAACAACAAATCCTGAAAGCCTAAAACCTGTAAGGCTACGATGCCTTGGACCCCTGTAGTACTTTGTTTCCGAAGTCCCCCGGCACGGCCCACCTCTGGGTGATACTGCACACCGTAGAAGTGTCGCACCTGCAGCTGTGGAAGTTAGGGAACCTACGCATGCTCCTCTGGGTATAGGGTTCAGGGCATCCTAGTACTCTGGGCTCCAGATTAGTCTTCCCCACTGTGAGGCCCACATGTAGATGCTGACTTGCAGATCGCATGTTGCATCTATGGATGAAGGGGTCATAACTGTCTTGCTGCAGAGTAAGACATGCTTATGCTTCTGTCTGCACTCTACCCACTATGCATACTGCTGGTACTCAGCAGGTGCCTTAAACCGACCATGCAAATCCACCAGGCATTCTGCAGAGATCCGGAACCGTGTCATGTGGCAAACGGTTCCCTGAAGCCTTCGGATTCCGCTGGAACCTGGGAATAAATTACTGTGGGTTGAACCTGTCAGGTGCCAGGCGAGACTGCAGGAGTACCGACAGGCGTGCAGCTTTCATTTCGGAGGCAGACGGCTGAGGCACTCCCCGATCTGCGGATTAAACAGATTAAACTGTGCCGCTGCATCACTCCTGCCTGATCTTCGATCGCCGCATACTCGGTGTTGGAAGTGTACGCGATCGATGCGAAACCCGGAGGAATCCTTAGCATACTGGGAGATCGGAAGTGCTGCTATGCGGCCTGCCAAGCCCAAGCACGAACCAATCCCGTCACTAAAGCTACGCCACTTGTGATGAGAAAACGCAGACACTTGTAGCTCCAGCCAGCGGAAAGATTCCTTCCTGAATTCCCAAGCTTCGCACTTGTTCTGTGCTTTGCCTGTGCCAGATGGTCAAACCTTCATCGCTTCAACAAAAATTGGCTCCACGTTTAGGGCAGAGCTGCTATGGTTCAAAGTCACCAGCATCCTAGGTCAACGCCTCCGTGCCCACTTCCACTCAGAACTTTCAGCCACCCAATGCTGTCGCAGGACGACAGTTCCACCCAGGTATCAACAAATCCAAAGAACTGCTTAACTTTCAGTCGTCACTTCAGCCATTTCAGTATGACTTTGTGATTCCATATCCTGCCTATCTTCCCACTGCCGAGACACTGGGTGACCTTGTCCCCGTGGCTCATCCATACCGGAACCTAGTTCATGGTTGGGATAGTGTTATTGAAACTTCTATTCCTATGTTGAGTTTAAGTACACACAAAAATGTAAACTGTTAGCCCAACTACTCCTCTTCTATGGAGTTTAGGTATACATGAACATGTAAAATGTTACCCAATCACCCTAAACCCCTAAACCCCAACTATGATAAAAGAGCCTTGTGCCCGTCAATGCCCTCGAAGATGGGGCTGCGGCCTCCCGGGCGGAGTTGGCAAAACCCAAATCCTTGCAGCCAGCCCCGAACTACACTACTGTAGGGTTTAGGGTTTAGGGCTTAGGGTTTAGGGTTTAGCCAAATTTTGTAAATCCTGCAATGCTCGAAACTTAAACTACAAGATGCAGAGGTCCATAGTCCCTAGGTGCACTCGAACCCTGTTGCAGCGAAGCAAAAACTAGCAGTGGTCGGGGAGTGCAAGTGTCCAGCCCAGGGAAAGAGATATCAGATCCTTATAGGGAGCTTTAGGGAACCTAAGGGAGCCCTAGGGATGATTGGGGATTATTGGGTTGTATACCCCTCTTAGAACCCCCCCCCCGCCCCTAAGGATCCCATAAAAGAGAGCCTTTGCTCTTCTTGGCACCGTTTTGGCTTTGCACTGCCACGTCTTCGCCTTTGCGTTCGGACACAGGGGACGTGCACTGCTTTAGGGTTTGGGGTTTAGGGTTTAAGGTTTAGGATTTAGGGTTGCACCACTATCGTGCCTCCCGAGGCTGTGTTCTTCAGTTCTTGAATGATGCTTCTACGAAGAAGGTATCAAGAGCAGGCGGCTGCAAACAATCTCCAGCCCAGCGCCATAAACAAGGCTCATGGTGATATGAACAGCTGAAACACCAAGAAGAGATCCCGAAGGTGACCCCAAGAGGCCCTCATAATAATAAGCTTCAGCACAAACACCACACGAACAAAACCAGCCAAGTTCAATACTGTCCGAGCAACATGTAAAGCAACAACGTCAAGACGAAAGTCCAATCGACAAACGATATAAGTCAGGCAGTATTCACAGCAGCAGGCATGCTGATCAGACTACTGTATTCGCTTGAACTATGTAGATGAGGGTGATGAAAGTTGTTATGATGGTGAGGCTGCTGCTGATGATGGTAGTCAACACATCATGAATCATTACTCATGTAGCCGTGGACTAGGCGAGGCACCATACTTCAACTCACCTGCAGGAAAGCAAACACATGCAAGCGTTTTCGCTTTCCGTACATGTCAAAACTCCTGTCATCGTCATTGCCTTTCTATGACTCACTGTCAATACTTACGTGACCCTGCAATATTGTCGAGGTGCGAATGAGCAGGTCGGCATGTCCAAACTCGCGCTTGACGCCGGCTTCGACCTTGCCGCCGAGGGAGTGGCACATCTCCTGCTTTGCAGATATTGTGCTCAGGCTTCTTGTCGCTTGGAGGTAAAAAGTTCAGTGAGACGGTTGGATTCCAGCAGCCAAAAAGCGCGAAACACTACGTTCAACGTCGTCCCACCATCCCAATGCTCGAACCGCGGGTGATCCGTCAAGTTCTACTGCCTCAGCTCTCGGGGACAGGAAAGCAATTGTTTTGTCTTGCGGGAAGATTACACCCTAAACCCTACACGTCATTCTGGTCAGTGTAGCCTTGATGAAATGCTTGCACAGAGGCTCAGCCGGCAAGGCAGCTTGCAAACCCAAACTAACACCAAACCCCAGAGCCCCAAGCCCTATACACCTGAACCCTAAACTTCCCTAAACCCTAGACGGAAATCACTACTTCTTCGACTCCTGCAAGCCATAGCAGATGCCGAAGACAGGTAGCTTCTTCTCGTCGATGTAGCCCCAAATGTCCTGGCAACGACACCGAAGGCGCCGCCATCAGTGTGGTGAGATGACACTGATCTTGAGATTTTAGGCTAAACAAGAGGTGAGAAATGCACCGACTACTAGGTAGATTGGTCTAGGTGCAGCCTTGGTTGCATGTCGTTGCTATAGTCTGCTGTTGAACATGTGCTCCTCTGAGCCTAGCATTGGCCTGACCATGCTCATGGAAAGCCTGCATACTTGTAATCACAAAAAAAGCTAGCAACAAAGCTTCCGGAACCGTGAAACTCAAGGTTGCTCCGATGGCATTTCGCACAGGTTTGCACGAACCTCAGCATCCCAAAATACATTGGGCCATGCGCAGAAGCATGCGGTTTCCAAGCGATGGATCCTGTGATCTACCTGAAGCCCCCGGAAAAGGAACAAGCACAGAAAGGACAACAAGAACCACACGGACGAGGAATGGGGACGAACTGCAGCTCCTGGAATCCAAAACCCGTGTCCCGAAGCACACTTCTCTACCCAACTGCCGTCCTTGCACAGGTGCGGTGCATCCTTATCATAGACGGAGTGGGGACCGCCGCTAAGAATGATTGCATTGGGGCTGAAGTTCTTCACATCCTGGCCGGCACGAAAACAGCGCTCAAAACAGGAAGGCGGGTAATCTGACAGATGTAGCTGTGTATCCGAACCTATATACACACAATATCAGGAAAGCGTCGTGGCTCTAACCACAATCGTACATCAGAGCAGTGGTCGTACTATTGTCAACATCGGTGGGAGAAGTGCTAGCCTGCTAGCTAGCTGGTTAGTCAGTTAGTTAGTTTGTTAGTTCTTTCGCGCGTCGGCTAGTTAGTTCATTAGGTAGTTGGCTCCATGGTTAGATAGTTAGTTGTTGAGAAATAGTTGGCTAGTTGGCCTTGGCTAGTTTGGTAGTTGGTTAGTTCACCAGTTGGCTCAACAGTTGGTCGGTTAGTTAATTAGTTGGTTAGTTGGTTGGTTTGTTGGTTAGCTAGTTCCTTAGATAATTAGTTAGCTAGTTAGGTAGATATTTAGCTAGCTTTCTAGTTATGCAGCTAGCCCTTCGCCGGGTAGCCAGCTAGCCATTCAGTCATTCATTCAGTCAGTCAGTCAGTCACTCACTCAGTTTGTTAGTTGGCAAGGTGTACCAGATCATCAGCGTTGTTGTTGATATTGCTCCTTTAGTATATCACATTGGCACTGATAAAATCTTTACTACTGTTTATTGCTATTATTGGTATTATTCTTCTTATCGTTGTTGCTAATCTTACTGCTATTGTTATTATTGCTGTCTCAATTTTTATGGCTGTCGCTATTCTTATGAGACTTATTTTTTCCAACATGAATATCAGCGGTCTTGGTACTGATAACATTATTATTGTGCGGCCCCCATCATGTCCTCGAGCTTCAGGAGGCAGGATCGGAGCTCGCAGTACACCCCCGCTTCGCGCACGCGGCGGCAGATCAAGTGAGAGACCTGCTTGTCAGGATCTCGGGCAGACTTGCTGGAGCTCGGAGTCGGGGGTCATAGGATTTTTGCTGCTGAACTCTGGCTCTATGTCAAGGCGCTGTGAAGAGTGGAATCGGGGGCAGAGCTTCGTCTTTGTGGGTTGTGACGCTGTGCCCGGTGTTATGACGAAGGAAAGCATAAAGGGCACGTCTCGATCTGATCCTGAAATGCTAACCTGAAGCCCAATAGAATGCCCGATACCGAAGAGGGATACATCACGAGCCTGCAAAGAGTTATTATTTCTCGGTTGAGACTGGTTGGACCTTGACTCGAGACTCCACTTGTTTTTGAGGTTTGAGGCGTGGGCTTGATACCCGGGGATTTGTACAGTACGCCCGCAGCACGAACACCGAGAAAAAATGCAGATCGCCAGAGCTAACATACCATGTCCATTCAGGGAAAGCAACCTTGAAGACCCATCGACTCCAGAGTTCTATTTTTAGGAGACGGGGTCGCAGCCTTGAAGCCTAAACGGCCTAAACCCTGAGACACGAAACCCTTCAACACCCTCGGCTTTATAAACATCCTGTGTCCAAAGCCCGGTGCCGGCCATGGGCCTGTGAACCGAAGTCAATGACGAGGATGCGCTCTTGTCTCTCCATGCCGGCCATCATGTCGACCTTATTAGTGGAGCGAGGATGAAGCATTTGGCTTTAGCCTGTGTTGGTCCAAGGCTCGGACTTTTGGGTCAGCTGCCTTCCCTAGGATTTGGAATTCGGGGTCTTCGGGCTTTCGGGCTCTAGGATACGAGCGTCAGCACATTGGACATGACAATCGCGGTCCTGCTCTCAAAGACACGGTGGTGCTAAGTTCACAAGATCCCCTCAAAAATCTAATGTAGGGGCCTTAACTATTCTAATAATTGAAATAGAGTTTTGGGATCTTGTATAGTATAACTATAATAGGGAACCCTGAGGAATACTAGTGGTAATTATTTAGGCTTCTGTAGTAAACTGACCACTCCAAACCCTACTTCACCCTAAACCCTAAACCCCTAAACCCTAAACCCCTAAACCCTAAACCCTAAACCCTACTTCCCCATTCAACCCACCAGCTCCGGTCCCTCTAATTCTGAGTGTCAGAGCGTAGCCGGCTTACGTCCGGCAAATCACGGTTTAGGGTTTGTAGGGTTTAGGGTTTAGGGTTTGTAGGGTTTAGGGTTTAGGGTTTGTAGGGTTTAGGGTTTTTTTTCAAATCACTACTTAACCATAAACCTTCCATGCCAAAGCTAAGCGCTGCCCGATAGACTGCGGGCTTTGCGCTATTGGCGCCGTTCGACATGGCAAGAAATGAAGGGCGGAGAGTGAGTTCTCGGGAGCTTGTCTCTGGGCCCAAATGGCTGGGGTTAGGAAGTTTGCGGATGAGGTCTGTGGGCTCCGGCAACACAGGTCTTTTCAGGGTGTCTTTTCGAATGTCCACCGCGCAACCCATTTAGGGAGACAGGGGAGTCGCTGTAGAATCACTACAAGGAAGACTACACATGACACAGCACCGAGACGTCAGCATTGATGATGAGGTGGGAAGCACAAGGATGCTGACAATATTGGCGTTACGACCAGGAAGACGATGCTAATAAATTAGGGTACCTTAAAATTGGGGTCCTCCATAAGAAGGATCCTACTATTTAGGGTACTATATTAGGGTCCCCTAATGATGCAGATGATCCGGACAACAGAGTTGATGGTGATAGTGGCCATCATCATGTTAATCACTGTGGTTCTGCAAACCATGTGCAGGATGATGCCAGTAGTTGCAGTTGCTGATGTTGGTTCTCAGGCCGGGTGTTCATAGTGCCAACGGTGCTGGTGACTCAATTGTTGGACGACGACGCTTTAAGTTGAAGGTGATTGAAACATGATGAGAATTTCAAAGATCATGATATATTCTGCCCCAAACCCTACGCCCTAAATCGATTTAGAGGATGGATTCTGAAAACGAAGGCCGCGCCGATGATGATGGTGACCATCATCATCCCCATCATAATCATCACCCCATAATCATCATCATCATCATTATTCGGGACGGTTGCCAGCCTCACCTTAGAAAACTAACCTCAAAAATAGGGAACTCTTCGCCGCGTTTCAAACTTGCAGTGGCAGCCTGCTCTCGAGGGGAGGACATCCCGCCAGAGGGCCTGCAGGAGCAAACAACACGCAACAGTCACATCAGCAGCCGCCAAAGCTGAGTCGGCAGCAGTGTCACGGTCGACATCAACATCATCAGCAACATCAACGAGAACAGCAACAACAGCAAAACAACAACAACAACCACAACAACAACAATTTTGCAATTGAA